AAGGCTAGTCAGTTTGGAACTGCTTGTCATGTAGTGTGCACCCTAATACAGATGCACAGACAGTGTCAGCGTGTAGGGGCTGGAGTGGAGTTGAGCGCTTGATGTTTGAAAACTGGTTCACTTGTTAGTCATGTGTGCCGTGGTTGAAAGGACTCCAGTTTCACCATCTTGGACTAGAGTAGTGATATAGTCCCTGTTCAGCTCTGTCGATCTGCTGCAAGCTGGAGCAGAAGCCCCCACCAAACCAGAACCAGCAGCAGATGGAGAACTGGTTCATGCTTCGGTACACAGAGCAGAACAAGGACTATCGTTCCCATCTGCAGTCAAGGCGTGGAGCTGGAGTCTGTCCAGTGGCCACTCACTGTGGGAGGCAGCTGTTTATGTTGTTCAGTTATTTGTTATAAAGTTCTTGGCTATCACACACAGGTGCATACACGTACAGGCGTGCAGACACTTAGACATACACCAGGTTCTAATGTTAAAGAAATGTAACTGAAGTTAGCCATTTGTTTTGTACTACCCACTTCTGACTATGTGTTTTTCTTTGCCTGAGGTAGATAGAAGGTGTTGATCCAGACAATGCTCGAGTCATGGTGAAGTTGGCTATTGGCAGCAAGGTTGTGACGATTAGCCAATACGCCATTAAACTGGTGGAGCGCAAGGAATATGAGAAATACAGCAAAGATCTCAGTGAGTAACTCTGACTTTTAAAAAAGTGACCTTTATTTTTTTCCTGCATAACGAATTAGAAGAAATCTCACTTAAAATATGGTGACATTTCATTAAATACCAAAATTCTGTTTTGTAAAAGACTTGTATTGCTATTGTAGGTACATATAATACAGATTTATTTTTTAATTAAATATCTAAGGGATCCTGCTGTTATGCAGTGTTCTGGGAATCAGACTTATCCTTTTCAGTGACATTTCACTGAACAGAGATTTAGCCACAGCCTGTATTTACGTTAGCCAGCAGTGTTTTTCCTAGAATGAAAAGGCCATGAAGAATAACTCTTTCAGTACTGTTGTCTGTGTTTGCAAAAAACATTTTTTTAATGCCATCTAATACTGCTTTTCCCCCAACAATTAGGTCGCCTCAGTAAAGCCCACAAAGACAAGGAAAGGGAGAAAGAGAAGGGAAAGGATCAAGAGAGAGAGCGTCAGAGGCGGGAGGAGAACGAGAGGAGTAGTAACGGCGACAAAGTAAAACACAAGTCCTCAGAAAGAGATCGAGAAAAAGACGAGAAGAAGAGGAAACACAGAGAATCAAGTCAAGACAGGTACATTTTCACTAAGAGATGTAATATTTCAATAATGAGCATTTTAAAGTGAATTATCTGATGGTTTTTTACTTTATCATTTTAACAGCATGTTCTCTGCTTACATGTGTTCATCTGCTGTTTGTTTCGTAGAGATAAGCCTCCAGTGAAAGAAGCAAGGCGACCACCAGCTCCCCCGTCCTGGCTCCAGAGAGACCTGAAAGTTCGCTTTATAGACAAAGCGTTCAAAGGGGGCAGGTACTACAATTCAAAGGTACTCCAGCTTTATTACACCTTTCTATGTCAGTTATTAACAGCTTTGAATTAACAGATTTTAATGCATTGAAGCTACAGGCAGATAAAAAAAATTTAAAGGAAAGGGCAAGCTGATAGGGAATCACATACCACCACAGCTTTATTGTGCCTTCATTAGATTTTGATGGGGTTTTTAACTTTTCTGACAATAGCAGGCTTATACGGTATAACGAACTAAACAATTCCTAAATAACATCAGAAATACAAATTTATTGAAATAATTATTCATTTCATGAATGTACTACAGCCATACAGCCAGCCCGCACGTCTCACTGTTACGGCACAGAATGGATGGATGGAAAATAAAACAAACACCATCTTGTGACGTGAACTTAGTTGGGAAGTAATTTAATCTAGAAAACTGGGCTGGGGACAATACGACACACTTTGTCGAACTAAGTGGTCTCTGTTTTGTTAGGTTGCTCACCTGCATCAATAAGGTGGAGTTTCAGGACTTGCTCCATTTACTACTTGAAGTTGTCATTGTTCACAGCTCACTGAGCTCAGTTGCCACTGCTGGTAGAGACTGCCCTCTGGTGGTGTTTCTGGTTTCTGGGCAGCATGCCATGATAGATAGCTTTGTAGAAATAGATGGTCTAGTTTTGGGTTTTTTTTTCTGTGACAGTATTGAAAATCCTGCTGTCAGGATTTCTAAATACCCTACAGTTCAGCTCAAGCCTACTTTGCACTGACTCTCTAAGTCTTTGAAATTCTACCGAGGCCATAAATCATTCTTGTGAAAAGAAATTCTCCCATTTGATGCTTTGATGATGGTTTTAGAGAGTACTAATATGACATGAGTAGTTGGTTTAAGATTTGGTGACACATCGAAGTGTGGCTACTTGTTTACCAGTGATGGGGCCATTATCATCCAGGAAGAGCCCACTCCCACTGCGATAGAAATGTTAATCCCCCAGAACAACTTTGCATTAAGTGCAGTAACCCCAACAGGGACAGAAAAATAGCCCTCACAGCATAAACAAGCTGGATATACCCTCATTGTTAGGTTAGGGACTCAGGATTTTCCTTTAAATTGTTAGCGGTGTGCCAGTTTGCATTAGAGATGGCTTTATTAGATGTGAAAATAAAGGACTAGAAAGCCCTTTTTAATAGCCTTTTTTAGTTTTCACACTCTATATAGAAAACTTTTAATCCTAAGCAGCTGAAATAGACGAATCACTCCTTTTGTTATCATCATGTAGCATGTCAGAAACTACTTTATCTTTCACGTGTGTTCACTTTTTTGAGAGTCAGACATTAGTTGTAGTTAGTTTTAAACCAAAGTATCGGCATTCACAGAAAAGCCACAGAATGTTGCTGTGATAATTTCAAACTTCAGTTTCCGTCAGAGCTCTTAAAATAAGTCTCGTTTTTGTGCAGATGCAAGTGGAGGATGTCCTGACGCCGTCTACCTGTGTGTGCCGAACTGAAGAGGGAAGACTGTTAGACGGTGAGTTATTAGTGTGATCTCGGGCTTGCTCGGTGTTATTTTTCTCAGTCTGTGGCGTTCGTGTTTTCTGTTGCCTAATTGGAGCTTGTCAGGAAATGTGTAAAATGTGTGCTGTCACTGTCTCTGTTGAATTCCTTATTCATCTAACAAGTTAAGGTGTTTTTAGCTGCATGAAATTTTTTTTATCGCTGTTATTGTGAGGTGTTTAAGGAATAGACAGATGTGACTTTTTTTGTTAGAATTTGAAGGAAATGTATGGCTTTATTTGTTTTTGAAGGTTTGTTAAATCTCTTTTTTTTCCATTTCTTTGCACATAATGATGAATAAGTTATAATTGTTGACCAGTAGATTAACTTGTAATGCTCATTTTCTTTTCCCTCAGGTTAAGTTTCCCAGGTCTGCACCTTTGCACATTTAAATATAAAGGTGTATAGGTCCTTGCAGCTAACTTTCAACAATGCAAAGCAAATATGGATTTTTTAAAAATGGTTGAACTATCCCTTTTGGCACGACTGAATCTCCAGAATAACCAGTCTTCTATACTGTTTACAGTTAGTTAATTTGAGAGATATGTACAGTTTTAATCTGTTAGGATTATACTCAGATCTCTTCTGTCATAAGTTTTGTTTCTGTGTTTTGTTTAAAATGAACTTCATATTGACTTTGCTGCAGTTGTGCTTTTTAACAGCTAACTTTACACAATGCTATCATGTCAAATCAGTCACTTTAAAATCATGTCAGCATAAAAGTGTTCAGAATCTTTAGGCGCAGGACAAGACTGTTTGCAGATTACTTACAGGTAAATGGTCCTGTTGAAGAGCAAGGGGAGGGATTACTGATTATTGTTATTGCCAAAATATAACCTTGAGTTAGAATAATATTTTTACATTTTATTTGTTCTTTAAAATGTATTTGTTGCAAAAATAATAACATGACTTCTTACCACAGATATCTGGCTATGGTGGAAGCATTGGTTATTGTTCTGAGAGGTCGGTCTGCTGATTTAAATCTGGCAACCAGACTTCCCAGATTGGGGATTAATTTGATTCTTTTTCCTTATTGGTTATTAGAAAACATACAGTGGCTTGCAAAAGTATTTGGCCCCCTTGAACTTTCCCACATTTTGTCACATTACAGCCACAAACATGAATCAATTTTATTGGAATTCCACGTGAAAGACCAACACAAAGTGGTGTACACGTGAGAAGTGGAACCGAAATCATACATGATCCCAAACATTTGTTACAAATAAATAACTGCAAAGTGGGGTGTGCGTAATTATTCAGCCCCCTTTGGTCTGAGTGCAGTCAGTTGCCCATAGACATGAAAAGTTCAAGGGGGCCGAATACTTTTGCAAGCCACTGTAAATGTCAGAATCTGCTGGCTCTGAGTGCTGCCTAGTTGGTATTACTGTAGAAATTCTTCAATGAATGATGCAGCGTTTCTTTTTTCTTTTCCTGTGGCAGATGTGAAGCAGGACATGCTGGAAACTATTGTCCCAAAAAGTGAATATGATTCTGTAATGGTGGTACTGGGTGAGCACAAGGGAAAGGTGAGCAAAGTAACCTCTCTGCTTTTTATTTATAGATAGATAATTTGTTTAAATCTGATTAGCTAATACTGATCACAATATTCCCACCTGATTCAGGTTGGCCGTATTCTTCAGCGGGACAAGAACAAGTGCAGAGCGATGGTCCAGCTCGACAGATACGAGGATAAAGTGTTCACATTGGACTATGACTCCATTTGTCACTATGTTGGGGCAGCAGCAGACCACTGATTTCTGATGTTTACTGTAATATTCACTGTCCTTTTTCCATCGACTTCTTCCCAGCTGTTTTTTTTTTGTTTTGTTTTTTTTAGTTATTATTCAAGTATTATGGATTTTAAAAGATTGCAATTTTGTAATAAAAACTTGTCGATTATTTTCCCCTTGTGCATATGGCAATGCAACAATTGAGAAAAAGCTGCAACAGATAATTTTCACAGTAGTCTTAAGTTTATTATCAGGTTCACTGATGGGTCTAGTGACAACGAGAAGTGAACCTTTGGGTCATATAAAAACATATTTACAAATGCTCTACACGGCAGGAGTATGAATAGAGAAGCTGTCCAAAAAGTTCAGCCCTTCATTTCTGACATGTACACATTTCACAATGAAAAGAAAAGCCTGTCAAACTATGATGTTTAGCATGTGAGCATAATGAAGACCAACTGTAGAGTTGTGGGTTTTAAGTTGCTGTCTTCGTAGTATCTGCTTTTACTCCTTGGGTAGTTGGTTTGCTGCGTTAGCCCGAAGAACAGCTCCTGGACTCGGGTAGGGACGCTGCTGGAAGAGAGGCCCCGCTGCTGTGGTGTCTGCACCCGTTTTTGCTTCATTACGTTTGGGCAGCCCACTTGACCACGACCCCCTGCAAAAATGAATACGTTTGTGTTCACTGCATTTGTAATCGGCACTACAATGTCTTCTGTGTCTGAAAAGGGGTTTTGTCAAGCCTGAGAAAACGACCTTGATCAAATTGCAATGACAATCTCAGCTTGGTCTTAGGAATATTTTAAACAGAAACCCTGGAGTTTTAGATCTTTAATAGACATTTCCACAGCAGACAATTTGGCTCATGGTGGCAGGAAAACTGCAAGTGAGGTAAATTTGGTTAATGACGGCTACAGTATGTTGCATTTACAGCTACAATAAGACTGACTGCACATACAAGGATAATGAAACTAGCGTGCTGAAGTAGTATGGAGCCATTTAAGTTGTTTTTATACCTGTGCTTTCTCTGACATGCCAAGTCAAAATGCTGTTTAAAAAAAAGTGTATGGCCCCTTCCCAGCGTTCACACATGTTCCTGCTCTGAGGGCTCAGAGCTCATAAGGATACGAGGCCTTTCTGCAAGTCTTTATTTTATGCTCAAGGGAATAAGTGAGTTGTGATAAAAGCTGGTCAAATTTGGTCAAATATTAAGTAACTTTTATGAAAATGTGAGGAAAACTAATCCAGTTCACTATGAACATTATGCTACTGGAATAAAATCTGCCTCTTGTTGAGGTGTGGTGCCTTGCATGAAATGTAGATTTATGTGAGCTCCCTAAACCAGGGATATCAGCTATGCTGATTACCATTTTGAATTTTGAGAGGACACACTCAAAAATTGTACCTGTGCTGTGTGAGGGTTTAGTTCTTACGTCTAAGATAAAAATGCATGATGGGAATTGATTTGGTCTGTCTCTCATAACTATTTTTCAACAAGTGCAACACAATGATTCTGGCAAAATCAGAATACCAGAGAACGACCTGTATATAGCTTATATCGAGGTGACCATCTGTACTGTACCTTGGAGCATCAGAGTAAGCACTTGGATCCATGGGGTCCATCTCATCATCTTTTCTACCTGTAAAAAATATTAAGTGTTCAATATTCAATCATGTGAAAGTTGCTGATGTGTAAACATGTAATGAATCTGATGTAAACATTACCTTTTTTGCTTCGACTGTATGGTGCTGCCTCATCTCTTCTCTGCTTTCTTCTGTCTCTGTCCCTCCCATCATCACGTTCTCTGTCCCGGTCCCTTTCCCTGTCCCTTTCCCGATCTCGATCCCTTTCCCGATCCCGGTCTCTGTGTCGTTCTCTGTCCCTGTCTGGTTTCTCAACTTGCTTCTCGCCTTTTTCATCTCCTCCTTCTACTAAAAACACAAGTTAAGGCAAGGATCACAAGATTAGCCATGGCTGAAATCTGTCAAAAGCAAACTGTATTCTGAGGTTGTACATTCAAAGTAGCACACGTCAACTGTAACAGAACTGAAATTTGTGATCACTAGTGCTTCTTGAAAACATTACATTATAGAGGCTGAATAAAAGCATACCTCTTATTTTCTTGGCAGGTTTTGTTATTACTGCAGATGGGTCATTTGGGGATAACCAGGCAACCATATCTGTCTCGACATTCCAGTAATAAGGAAGACCACTGTTTAAGGAATAGAAAACATTAGCGATTAATATTGCAACCACAAAATTAAATAAAACTTACTTAACAGTTTAAAAATACACTTTAGCTCTCCATGACAGTAGTTATAATGTTCAAGGACTTCTCAAGAATAAAATGAGAAACAAGAAAGAAAAAGTAAAAAGCGCATTCTGATTGTGAAGTTTATAACAATCATTTTGAATTAAAAGTATAAAATTCTTATTATATTAAATTATAGTATATCAAGTGTACATACCAAGCAGAGTCAAACACTTTGTACCAGTTTGGTGGTAGATTCTCCACTCTGGTGGCTTCATAATCTACATTGTTGTCATCATAATCTTCAGCAATAATCTCCTCATCTGCCCCTGGATTAATTGAAGGGGAAAAGGTTTTTAAAAAGGCATGAAAAAAAAGCACAAAACATAAGGAGAAATTCACAAAGGGTAGAGACCCGAATATGAAATCTGCTCCACTACCTTGCTCTGTTGGTTTAACAATCCCTCTCTTGGCCAATCGGGCCAGCAGTGCTGGAGGTAAAGGCATCCTGAAAGACGGAGTCCATGTGAAACTCTGTTCATATTATGGCTGAAATTCACTTGGGGTACCAAAATAACAGTTGCAGAACAAATGCTCATAACACATTATTACACAGTATTAAAATAGTCTTAGATCTGTCATAAATCAGATAACATAATACATATCATGTACTTTTAATAATATGTACCCTTTGATTAATTAGGACATATAGAAACTCATCATTTACACACAAACCACTAAGTCACATGTGGCCATAAAGTAAAATGCACATGATTACCACCATTATATAGTTTAGTGATCTTTGATATAAGCACATTTTGTAACAGTTTCATTACTTTCATGGGCTATTTTATATATATTTTATCACCATTATGTTTAATATTTTTGGTCCACCATTCATTTCACACTTTACTGAGCACTTGGTTTTGAAACAGTTCCCATATTTACCTGTTTTTTATTCTTCATCTTCTTCTTCTTATTATCATTGTTTTGTTTTGTCCATTTTTTCTGGGACATTTCTTGTTTTCTGATAAGCGGAGATTAAGCCTTTACTGTAATAATTCTATCAAAAGCAGCTTTAACACTGCCCAGAACCACATTTTTGCAGCAGACTTGTCACATCTGTAGACAAGTATTTCCTGCAATAAATTACTGCTGGCTGTTTTGATGTCGATATCACAATGATATTCCTGAATTGTAGTTTAAAGCATGTATCCTGGCAGGTCTGAGAATGACTAAACTCCTGAACTGTTATGTGTCCTGTCATCATTTAAAGTAATCTGCTCATAAAAATTAAAGTAACTCCATAATCCTAATAAAGAAATCAGTTTCTTAGGTTATATGGCCATCGTACGCGAATCCCAGGTAAAACTTTACTAGCTCCTTATTTTATGTGTATGTGCATATATGTATTTACATATATACACATACATATATATTTTTTCTTTGTGATTATTTGTACCATGTACAATACGAACTGTTTCCTTTAACAAGAAACTAACACGCTTGCGGTGCATCCGCGGCTGCAGATGTAAGATTAACGCAATAAACAAAACTATGCGTCTCCAAAAAGCATCCACACCACACAAACTAAAACGTTACCCTTTACTTCAAAAGACTGAACAACAAGAAATAGTTAAATTCTTACCTTTTCTTTTTTTAAAAAAGGTGGCCCTTTTTTATCGTCAAGCTAACGATACCTCTTTCCAAAACAGCATACACGGCGCGCTTAATGATGACGTAATCACGTCTTCTCGACGAAGACGACGACGTAAACAGACATGGAGGAGTATGCCCGAGAGCCCTGGTAAGATTAGATTTTAAGCGTTTGTTTGTATTTCAGAACTAATTAAGTTGGAGTCAAGTGTTGACTTTCTAAAATTTCATACTCAGCTTTGACGTGAGAGTGAGCAGAAAGGCTCTGTGGTTGTTGCGGCCTGCTTATTAAAGGCATATAAAAAGATAAAGATGTTATATGGAGGCGTCCTCTGCACACACAATAAGCTGGTAGAGTCACCTTTATCTGAAAATGTCGCTGTTTTTAAGTGACAACTGGAGTTAGGATAGAAATTAAAAATAGTTCAGGGTGGATTAATCTCAAAATATGGTTCCAAACAGGCAGTACATGAAGCTTCATTCATTTATTTATTTATTTATCAAGTTATACCTCGAGCCAAGGTTGATCCCCTACAAGTCAAACTTTAATGACAGTTCAAAGGAACGGGATAAAGAATCCAGATATCAGCCACTTCATTAGGCATACCTGTCCACCTACTGATTAATGTAAACCTACATTCTGTCACTTGGCAACAACATAGTGCATTTAGGCATCTGGACACGGTCATGACGCATTGCTGAAGTTCAGGCTGGAGTTCAAACAGCTTATTTTTATTGATTTTGAACATCACATGATTGTTTTTGGCAGAATGGCCGATCTTTTCAACATTCCCGAAACTGTTTAACTACAGCCTTTTCCCCACAAAATAATTTCTAGGGTTTTACAGAGAACAGCGTGAAAAAGAGAAAATATCCAGTGAGCAACAGTCATATGGTTGAAAAAGCCTTGTTGATGTCAGAGATCAGATGAGAGTGGCCAGACTGCTTTGAACTGAAGGCAGCAGTAACTCAAATAACCACTCCTTACAACTGAAGTGTGCAGTATAGCATCTCTGAATGGACAACATATCAACCCTCAAAGCAGCTGGGCTATGGCAGGAGAATACTAAATTGTCACTTCCCTTCTCCACACCTCATTAGTTCTTTCACTACTGTTTGACATATTCATTTATGATGTTTGATATGTTTTATAACACAAACATAACTCAGAGGTGAGCATTTAGTTATTTGTGTGGCTTTAAGGAACTAGTTCTTCATCCACGGGTAATATACATTTCTCAGCCAGAACTGTGCCCATATTGTCTTCGGCTTCATCCAGACCCCGATTGATAACTTCTGCATTTTGTATATGAACTGGATGTTAGTTGTCAGATATATCTCCATTGTCAGTTTTCCTATCACATAGAAATCCATTTCTCTCTTAACGCAGCCCCTGGAGGATAGTGGATGACTGTGGAGGTGCTTTCACAATGGGTGCAATTGGAGGAGGGGTGTTCCAGGCAGTCAAGGGCTTTCGAAATGCCCCTGCTGTGAGTTCAAAACACAGGTTTTTGTTTGTTCTCTGGCTCGTCAGGTTGTTAAAGGCAGAATTCAACTGAGCTCTAATATTTCAGGGTGTTGGACACAGGCTGAAAGGGAGTGCAAAAGCAGTGAGAGTTAGAGCTCCACAGATTGGAGGTGAGCAGTTCCTGTTTTTTGTTACACATGGCAGTTAGTTAGTAATATATCATTTTTTGTGTAGATGAAATTGTTTAGGTACAGTTAGCTTCATAAAAGTAGCTGAAGTCTGGTTACTTCTTATGTTGCAGGTAGCTTTGCTGTTTGGGGAGGGCTCTTTTCCACAATTGACTGTGGTTTGGTTCGTCTGAGAGGGAAAGAGGATCCTTGGAACTCTATAACCAGTGGTGCGCTGACTGGAGCCATCCTAGCAGCACGCAGTAAGGAGCTCATTAGCTCAAAAGAAACAATACACCACTGTGTCTCTCTGTGTCAGTAAATACAGCCCCAATTCTGAAAAAGTTGGCACGCTGTGTAAAATGTAAACAAAATTTTTTTGGAATTGGGTTTCTACATTGGGATAATTAGCGTGACTCGCTGAATATTGCATTTTTCTCCAGGTGGACCTCTAACAATGATGGGCTCTGCAATGATGGGGGGAATTTTGCTCGCTCTCATTGAGGGTTTTGGGATTCTCCTAACCAGATACACAGCGCAGCAGTTTCAGAACCGTGAGTGAAGATAATTATGTTTCAGAAATGATATTTAAACTGGGCAGAACCAATGATTTATCAGTAGTTTAGCAAAATGTCACATGATTAAATGTGTGAGTGGTTTTATACCCCTGTACTGGTGTCCACTCCTCAGTTTGACAGGATTATGGCTGGACTTTGGCATAGAGCAACATTTTTCATCTCACTGGTCCCAGTTTTACTCACCCTCATAGCATTTTTTTGTTTCTATCAAAATGTTTTAAAGAACCTGAGGAAAATCGTCCACTCTCTCAAAGTTCTTGTGCAGTTTAATTTGTGTTTCCTGTTTGATTCGTTTTTCCCAACAACACAATTTCTCACAATGTTAATGATATAACAACTTATAAAACATTTTGAAGGATGTGAGACTATTAAAATCATTTTTTTTTTTTAGTGTTGCTATGAATAACCAGACAAATGTATGAACATCAGGTTGCCTCCAGCACAGCTCAAGTTAGATTTCCTGCTGAGACATGTCTTATTTTGGATGAGATTGTTACGGTTGATGTTGGCCAACCGTGGGGATGTGAGGAAAAGGAGGACCTAGGCGCGGAGCTCTGAATGCAAGCAGTGCGTTTATTTACAGTGAATGGACAATAACAATAAATCCTCAGTGCGTTCCTGACTCCCGTGACATGTCCTCTTCCCAGTGCTAGTGTTCCTTGTCTCCGCTCCTCAGTGTCTGAGCACCCCGTGCTCGCTTCCTTCTCGTCTCCACGCTTCTCCTGCGGAAATAGCAAAGAGGCAGCCATAAGACAAACACAATGCGGACTAACCATACTAACTGGCCGAGAGACTAACGTGAAGTCACGCAATGGTCCAGCGTCGGATAGAGCTCCATCACACTCTTAAGCAGCTCCTCTGACGAGGCTTGATCAGCTGCAGGTGTGTGAAGGTCTTCAGGTGGGGCCAACCACCTGGCACACCCACCAGGCCTGAAGGTGCCTGTAAACAGGTGCTCCCAGATACACCTGCATCCACACACACACATATACCTGCAAGCAGGGAGAACGAGGGACGGCAACACCAAAAACACATATAATATAAAACAAGTCCATAACTGCTCAGGGACCCTAGGTAGCTCAGATCCAGGTCCCTGACAGTGATGAGCTGAGGAAAGCCTACGAAACCAAAAAGCCTGAATGCAGAGCAGACCTAGACAGTAGTAATATTCATATAAATATTTCTGAGGGAAACATGGGTTATTTATTGATTACATGCCAGTGAAGCATGAAAAACTGACTTTGTTGTGTCTTCTTCCTTGATTTCTCCAGCAATTCCCTTTGCAGACGACCCTGGTCAGTTACCACCAAAGGATGGAGATCATCAACATCAGGGGCAAAGGGGGCAGTTTCAGTAGAGAAGGTTCAGAACTGAAGCCAGCTGTGGACAACCAAAAGCATAACAGAATGCCAGCACATGAACAGCATCTACCAGGATGACCAAGAGGTGGAGATACTGGTCCCTACTGGATGCTAACAGATACCTCAGGGACAAATTACTGTTTCAGTTATTTATGAGTAAATGATAATAATTTCCTCATGTTTGCACCACCTGAAAAAGCAACGTTTTCAATATTTATGGTTATTTTGTTCAATGTGTAGTTCTCAAAACCACATAGTAAATTAAATTAGTTATTATAGCAACACGTATCTATTAAAATAAATAATTTTCAGCTCATTTATATTCTTGCTGAGAGTTGGGGACAACGCTCAAGGAACCAAATAAGTTTTATCCAAAAACTGCTTTATGCTTCCAAAGATTTTATACTTGGGCCGATTATGTATTTTAATGACTGAAAGGCAGAAAGTTAAAGTAAGAAAACTGCACATCTTTAAAGTTTTGCATTAGAAAGATATTTATTCGAATGTTAACGTTAATATTTATTTACCTGTGAGGTGTTAAAGTCAGTTCAAAGGACATTTGAGGGGTTTTTTTTGTTGAAACTCAGCAAACCCTTTTTTTAAAATAGTTTTTGTTGATTATAAGTGTTTGTCTAGTTTGTTATCTGTGCACCATTTGTCACTTTAATTGCCGCATAAAGCAACAAAGCACTTTTTAAAAACCTGAAAGTCTCTCATTTCCTGAAATTAGCACCATCCACAAAAAATTCTATCAAATCGATCTGGTTACAAACTGTCAGCAAATATCTATTGTAGTAAACGTACTGTGAACAATGTTCCTAAAAATAATAAAGCTTCAGATGATCTTTAAAAATGTGATCGATTGTTTGTTTGTGACTTCTTTTTCAGGTAATGTGATGAATATTTTTGCAGTCTTGTGATTTACTGCTGACTGGCGCCCCCCGTCGCCGGCCTTTCGGTACTGCATACAGTGGCTGTTTCTCTCCAAGGTCCTGAAATATTGGGGTCCCAACTTGCAACTGCTTTCTTCATCTTGATGGACTATTTACTTAATATTATTCTCTCTCAAAACTAAAACATCGCAGCAAAGTCCCACAGAGCCGGAGAGTTTCTCCACCTCCACCTTCCCCTTGAAAGATTTCCCTTGTCATCCTTTTAAACGGCTCAGCTACTTTAATCCTGACGGCTGGCCGCCGCGAATATATGCACGCGTTTGTTTTAATACTCCTCACCGTTGTGTGCCCGCATAGATAAACTTAATTGCAGTCTTCATTTACACACCGCAAGAAATGACCAGAAAGCGGCTTTAATTGGATTTATGGGCTACAAACTGGCGGTGAGCAGAATGGCCCGCAGCCTCTGAGCTGCACCGGCTTTCTGCATGTGGATATGAAATGACAGGCTACAGATGGTCCTTATTTTTTCCCTTCTCTCTTTGGGGGTCAAATTCAAATCTGTGATCCATTACGCATCACAGATTTTGTGAGGAGTTGATGGTGCGTTTTCTTCAGTGATTTCGTGGCGTTAACCTGTGAGAATGGACCCGGCAAAGAAAGGTATGGTCTGTCAGCCTTTCAGGAATGTGTTTAGTATACCTCCGCGCGTAACATTCGCTATGTTTTATTGCACTGTAAAGCTATTCTGAGTGGGAACAGACAAACGTAAGATGAGCATAAACATTTTTGTCATGACGCTTTTCTGAAAAGTAACAAAACCTAACTAGTAAAATAAAAAAGGGCTTTTATAATAACCAGAAAATGCACAGCTGGTCTCATATTCAAAGTTTTCTTACTAGGGCAGACAGTTTATGTCTTGGCTGCTCGTTTAGTTTGTTCACGGATGGGATGATAAAAGTACCCTCAGGCTTATTCTCTGTGCAGTGCCTTGTCAACAGGTGTTCGTGGGTCTACTTGGGGATAGGGCTGGGCTAAGTGCCACGCTGCTCCCACTAAAGAAGTAGGTCACATCTGGTCTTATAATATGAGGCCTCCGGGACAGAATACCTCCCTGTTGCCACAGCCACATGTCAAATCCTTTCCTAATTGTGTTAGATAATAAAATCTGAGCTCACATAAGCAATGCTAGAGTAACATGACTTGAAACTGTGTGCAAATGCACACTGGAACTGGACAAAACATTGTTTAACTTGCTTTTTTTTTTAAAATTTTAATTTTTTTTACACTGAATCTATTCCCCAAAACAAAAGAAACAATTACCTTGCATGTATATATCCTTACTTACAATAAAACAACTCAACCCATGCCCAACAGAGCTAACATTCACTGTGTGTGAAAATGCGCATTTTCACCCTTCCTTTTTAATCTTTATGTATATATTGACTTATTTATTTTCAGATGCCCTCCCTGGGGGCGATGCAGGCAAATCAGACACCCTTGGGTCAACTGGCTCGGTCAGGAAAAGAGGAGGGGGCGCCAAGAAGGCGATGCAGGCAAACAAGTCTGCCCTCAGGGCCCCCCGAGCTCTTTGCTGCCTCACCCTTAGCAACCCCATCCGGATGGCTGCGCTGGCCCTGGTGGAGTGGAAATATCCTTTTCTCTGAGAGAGTTGCTGTGTTTGTCTCTGCACATGTAGTGTGTTTTGGTTTGTGTATGTTTAATCCTGCATATGACGCACATTCATTAATAATCATTTGTTTCATCTATTTTTCCTGGAGAGATACATTCACAAGGCCCGCTCTTGCCTTAACTAGAGTCTGCAAGCCCTTTGACATTTTCATTCTTCTTGCCATTTTTGCCAACTGTGTGGCCATGGGTGTCACCAAGCCGTTTCCAGATGATGATTCCAACCCTACCAACCACAAACTAGTAAGTGTTCAGTGAACAAATATAAAATAATTTAACAAAGCCACCAAAAATATACAGGTTGGGCCATTTATATGGATACACTGTAATAAAATGGGAATGTTGGATACTGGATGCCTGTGTTGGCATTTCTCCTGCGGTGTTGCTATCAGTGTGTGAAGAGCAGGAGAAGAGGGTTGCATTGACAGTCCAACACAATGGGCAGCACATTGAACACATTTTATGAGTGGTCAGAAACTTGTAAATAACTCATGAAAGAATAAAGTTACATTGAAACCAAGCACACCATTGTTTTTCTTGTGACATTACCAATAAGTTTGATGTGTCACATGGCCCTCTTCCTATTGAAAAAACAAAAGTTGTATCCAAGATGGCTGACTTCTAAATGGCCACCATGGTCACCACCCATCTTGAGGAGTTTGCCCCCTCACATATACTAATGTGCCACAAACAGGACTTTAATATCACCAACTATTCCCATGTTATTACGGTGTATCCATATAAATGGCCCACCCTGTACACTATATGCCAGATCATAGATGATAGTGTGGGTCAAAGATATGTTTTTGGACACATGGATATGAATAAACAGCTTGATAGTGAATAACTTACTGAACACCTTCTGTATGTGATACAAACTGGCACACTTTTTTTATTTAGTTGTTTTGATGGCATCTCTAATCTAGAAACATTAAGGCCGGTATGCCCAGCTCTAACTGCTTTTGTCCAAATGCCTACCCTGTTACCTAACAAAATAACCCTACTCGTCAAACACAGATACCAGCCACTCTGGTTCACATCAGTTCCCACACGCTGACACTTGTTGAGTTGCTAGGTTTTTACTTTAGTGGCCAGGAAAACAGGTCCCCGAGGACATATTAGTTTTGTGGGCAACTGGTGAGAGCCTTTAAAGAGATGTAGCCATGCAGAAGTCTAAAACCTTACTATTAAATGAAGACTCCAACAAGTGCACAATTTAGACTTAGTCTGCAGAGAAAGTATTTATTTAGACATTTAAGCAGGGGCAAGGCATGCAAGAGGAATGGTAGACAATGCATAGCTCGTTATTTAACCTCTGTGTGGAGGACTATACTTCAGGCATCCTGACTCCTGCAAAGGGAAACCCAACTTAGTGTAGAAAGGAGAAGGTCTGTAACACTACACAGAAGGGAAGGAAGGAAAGTGAATTTACGTCTTTAACAGTGCCTCACCTTTACTTCTTAATTTGTAGGATACATGACAGATTTATTCATTTTTGAGACACATCTGTGGATACTTGGCAGTGGTGTCAGAAAGTCAAATAGACGAAGAGATCATATCGTTGGAGGACGTGTGAAGAGGAAAAAATGTTTGATGAAAGATCTTACATGGAGGAAGTCTTGTTATCTATAAACGTCAAAGAGACGCTGGTGCTTTGATCATATAGAGCTGCCTTCATCAGACTTCAGAAAGGAGGCTCGAGCCTTGAAAATATTACAAGGTTAACACTTTGTATTGTCATGTGATGACATGTCTGATCTTCTTTTACAATTTTTATGCTTTTCTGTTCCTGGTTTCTACAGCTTTACTCTCAGTAAGAAGATTTCCCTTTGCCTCCCTGAAATCATTTTCATTGTTGGATCGAATATAAGTGACTGATTCCATTCATTCATTCATATTGGTGGTAGTGCAGTGAGCGTGACCATTATCTATCTGAGACACACATGCCTGATATGTATTATCAGTCATTATTTTATTAGTTCAGTCAGTATGTCTGGTGTTCTGGTGGATGGTGATGCGTTAGCGTGGAAAAAGTTGTGCCACAACCTCATTGACGTGACATCTATCTGGGATCATGACTTACCTAAACACCAACCATCTGCCTCTTCTTTCCTTCCAGCACTCTGTTTTTTTTTCTGATCTCTTTTTCCAGTGAATAAAATGTCATATTGTTGTCACATTGTAAGCAAGTTCTATTAATCATGAAAGATTCCTATGACTAAATAATAACTTAATACATTTATAAAATAAGTCATGCAATAATTTTGCTTTGTTTGACCTAATCCTGACATTGTTTGCAGAGAGATAACAGCTGATTCAGTATTTGAGTTTGAGCTCAGACCCGTTTAGTCAAATGTGTAGTGGACACACAGTCGCAGCAGGATAGACGATAGTAGATCTCTTTGTTAGATTTCACAGAGCGGACAGTTGAAGATATTCTTCATTGGAGACTTAACTATATCCGTTATCATCATAACTTTTGGATCAGATTTTGGGGGAGGTTACAGATTTTCCAAGCTCCATCTTCTTATATTAAAGCACTTCGTTCCTGGATTATAGTGTCAGCGTGAGGTAAAGTCCCAGTGACAGTGACACTGATTAGAAGCTTTAAGCTGAAGGTTACAGAAAAGGGATCTGTTGGCAGACTTATGCGTGTGTTAGACAGTGGGTTAAGAGGTTAGAAAGCCAACAGTATCAGCTCTTAATGACTGCACAGGTTGTTTTTTGCATTAGGCAGGAGTAAAAACCAGTTGCAATGTGTGATAAAAAGAAATAACAGCCTCTAAATGTCAGCCCTAACAATAACTTGACATTTTCTTTAGTTTTCGTCCATTTTTTTCACATTCCGTCTGTAAAAGGTCTTTCCAATTTTACTTAACCATCCCCGTGTTACCTTTTCTTTTGTTCTCAGGAACAAGTTGAGTACGTCTTTCTCGTCATCTTCACCATTGAGACCTTCACTAAAATTCTTGCCTACGGCTTAGTCATGCACCCGAGCGCCTACATACGCAGCGGATGGAACTTGCTTGATTTCATTATCGTCATTGTTGGGTATTTTGTGTACTTTATAAAGTCACAATTTGCATCCACGAATGTTGTATTGTTAGTACGAAAAGTCAAATGCAGGGGCTATTTTCTGACTCTGCAGGTTGTTCAGTGTGATGGCAGAAGCAATGACAGATCACAAGCCCGGTGAGGCCCATCATGCTGCAGGAAAACCTGGAGGCCTGGATGTCAAAGCTCTCCGAGCGTTCAGAGTGTTACGACCACTTCGACTTGTGTCTGGAGTGCCAAGTGCGTCAACTACAATTAGTTTTGTTGGGATATTAGTATGAAGTGAAGGCTTGCACTGAGGGGGGGAAAAGACAAAGCAGCTTATTTATTTTTAGTATTATTATTATTATTTATTATTTTCAACATTTTGTTCTTTTTAGATATATTTTAATTGTGTTCTTAACATTTTTTGTTTTATTGTTCACATCTATACAAATTCTTCATCAAAGCAAAAATTCATTTTAATCTTAAAAGGTCAAATTTAATTTTGTTATTTAAACTTCCTCCTCTTTTTCTGCCTTTTTGTGGTTAACGTTGGTGTTTGTCTTGTCAGGTTTACAAATTGTGTTGAACTCCATCATGAAAGCCATGGTGCCCCTGCTCCACATTGGTATGCTGGTCATGTTTGTCATCATAATCTACGCCATCATCGGCTTGGAGCTTTTCATCGGGAGGATGCACAAGACGTGCTACCTCATGAGCACAGGTCTGTGTCATTCTGTGGATTTTCCATATGTCATTGATTTCTAGACTCAAAGCCTTTTGGTCTCTTGCTGTTTCCTGTTCCAGGTCTCATGGTGGAGGATGACCCAACACCTTGTGCGTTTGCTGGGAACGGCCGCTTCTGTGTCACTAATGGGACTGAGTGCAGGGGCAAGTGGGAGGGCCCCAACGGAGGGATCACAAACTTTGACAATATCTTCTTTGCCATGCTGACAGTTTTCCAGTGCATCACTATGGAGGGTTGGACAGATGTACTCTACTGGGTACACATACATATTGCTAGATCACAGTTTTCAAGCTCCATTTTTTCTTTTGTTTTCCTTTGTTGATTGACGATACTTATCAGTTCTTTATGCCTTTGTCTCTGTGCAGATGAATGATGCTATTGGCTATGAGATCCCATGGATTTACTTTGTTTCTCTGGTCATCTTTGGATCATTTTTCATTATCAACCTTGTATTGGGTGTGTTGAGCGGGTGGGTAGTCCCTGCACTGCAGGTTTCAACTTCCTTTGCGTGAATTGTGCAATGAGAAACAAAGGCGATACTTTAAAATGAATCTACCGCATATGTCCCTAATGGTTTTCCTGTTGTTATTAAGTATGTACTTGTATTTATGAGCACAGAGAGTTCTCTAAAGAAAGAGAGAAGGCCGTCGCTCGTGGTGAGCTGCAGAAGGCGCAGGAGAGCAAGCAGATGGAGGAGGACATGATAGGATACATGGATTGGCTCATAGAGGCCGAGGATGTGGACGAAGAAGGAAACAAACGTTAGTTAGGAGAACATTTACATTCAAATATAAACTCTCAAATCCTTACATTTGTACATACTAATCTGCCTCTATGTGTCTTTGAAGGTGCTGCAATTGCAAAGAAAAAGATGATGAAGAAGTTTGGCTGGTATAAGCACAGTGAGGATGGAGGAGGTATGATAGCTGCTGCTTGTTGCTGTTATTATTTTTCATTTTACGTGATTATCTCTAACAGCCAGTATGTGTGTGTGCATTCAGCAGAGTCAGACTCTGATGATGATATAGCATACCTGGATGATGATAGTGGCTTCTGTGCGTCTCTCATGTAAGGAAACAAAAAGGTCAACGTTGTTTTAAATCATTTTTTTCTGTAGAGGAGATGGTGTCATTTTATTAATGTTCCTCTCTTGTTTGTTTTCTTTCACAGGGCAAAGATGATGGCCAATAGTTTCTGGTAAGAATAAGAGAAGACGTACTACACTACAAGAAGATATGTTTCTCACTGAATTATCCATAACTTTAGGCTCAGTGGGTTTAAATAAATGATGCATTGTTTCACACCTGAAACAAAGAGGACTTTCTTTTCAAGTTAATGGTAAAATAATTATGAAAAATAAAAATGATATCATGATTTTATCACAGCTCAGGCAGGCACAGGTGGTTTTCCTGCTTGCACGCTAAATGCTAAACACAAATTTTGGCTAAATGAGAGCTGGTAACATAAAGTACTATACACAGGATGTGAAAATAACACAAATTGGAAATAAAGAAAACTCAAACCAGATAAATTAATTTGTGGGTGCAGTCTACAAAAACTATAAATCTTTGAATTAAGGCGTTTTCAGTCCCATTATGACAGGTGTATAAAATCAATCAACTAATGATGCAGTGTGCCTTTACAAACTTACTGAAAAATTGAGCTCACTGAATTTGAGCCCACGCTCAAACTATAGAAGGATGACACCAATGAAACAAATCAGCTTGCGAAATTTCTTCCCTCCTAAATATTCTGTAAGTGGTTAGAACTTGTAGACCAGAGTGGGATCACTCAGTACTGAGGCCAGTGGTGGGATTGTGCTACGTCATATTAATATTTTTTGACTGTACATGTCTAGTATGCGTGCAGTAAAGATGTTCATTCTACACTTTCTTTAGTGACCAGCTGTGCCAGCTGAATCACACTCTCAGGAAGAACTGCCGCGTTGCAGTAAAGACCACTAACTTCTACTGGTTGGTGCTTCTGTTGGTGTTTCTCAACACTGTGGCCAGCGCTTCAGAGCATTACGGGCAGCCGAAATGGCTCACCGAAATGCAAGGTAATAAATAGCCCCGCCCATTTTTTATTCTAACCTGTGATCCCAACCATCTTTATGCTTTGATTCTGAATGAGTCAGTGATATAAGAACAAATGTTACTTTTTTTGTCCCTCAGAGCGAGCCAATAAGATCCTGCTGCTTCTCTTCACTCTGGAGATGTTGATGAAGATGTACGCCTTTGGTCTGCAGATCTACTTTATGGCGCTGTTCAATCGCTTTGATTGCTTTGTTGTGTGTGGCGGTATTCTCGAGACACTCCTCGTAGAATTCGAAGTCATCCCGCCCATTGGCATATCGGTGCTACGCTGCATCCGACTGCTCCGGATATTTAAGATGACTCGGTAATTAGTGATTAAACCTTACGTGAGAAGGGAACTACAAATTTCCATGCCCTATCTGCCCATCCTGATGTGTGGTCATGATGTCCTGTCATTTTTAGGCACTGGGCTGCCTTGTCTGATCTGGTCACTTCACTGCTCAACTCTATGAAAGCTATCTGCTCCCTTCTGCTTCTGCTCTTCCTCTTCCTCATCATCTTCGCCCTGCTGGGTATGCAGTTGTTTGGAGGCAAATTCAACTTTGATGAGACTCAGATGAAAAGAAGCACCTTTGACTCATTCCCTCAGGCGCTGCTCACATGTTTCCAGGTGATTTACATCTCCAAACATCTCTCTCTTATGCTCACTGCTTAGCATTTCTGTTTATGGTATTGATTAGATCTCCTTCCCTCTGTCTGTTGAATTCCTTCTTGTTCATCTCGGATGGACTTTTGTTACAGATCCTCACTGGAGAGGACTGGAACGCTGTGATGTACGATGGCATTATGGCATACGGAGGGCCAATATTCCCTAACATGGTGGTGTGCATTTACTTTGTCATCCTCTTTGTCTGTGGTAACTGTATCCTTTTCAGCAAATGATTATCAGCAATGATATCAGCTAGAACAGTCTAAATATTAAATTAGGTCTTTCATTTCAAAAGGAATAAACAGCAATTCCTTAATTTTGTGATCAGACATCCTGCTTAATGTCTTCTTGGCTATCGCTGTGGACAACTTGGCAGGAGGTGGTGGGAAGAAAAAAGTCGAGTAAGTTTGATATATAGACTGCAGATGGATGTAGCTACAGTCACCCAAATTTGTGAACTCAGCATTATGTCCCTCTCTGGGACTATATACACAAATATTTCACAGCTCTTCCCTACTCCTTCCATAGCAATTAAGAGGATAAGTAGCAACAAGTTAATCAGATGGAACTGATTAACTCAGCATCAGCGAATCTCATCACCTCTTTAAAAAAGCTTAGTAGTTTGGTCTGGAGCAGGGGCAGGGAACTCCAGGCCTCGAGAGCCGGTGTCCTGCAGGGTTTAGATGTGTCCTTGATCCAACACAGCTGATTTAAATGGCTAAATTACCTCCTCAACATTTTTTGGAGTTCTCCAGAGGCCTGGTAATGAACTAAGGTGTGTTGACCCAGGGTGAGATCTTAAACCTGCAGGACACCGGCTCTCGAGGATTAAAGCTCCCTACCCCTGGTCTGGAGCATTCAGATCTGTGTTAATACATACAGAAAGCTGTGAGAAAGCTTCTTCTCTCTCTTGCATCTGAGCAAATCCCATGACTTTGGGAACAATACCCTTTAAACAGACATGACCAAAGTGTAGATGTTTGGTCATAATGCATTTTTGTATCATTATCACATACCATCCCCCGTCCCAGTTTTTGTCCCTCCCACATCGAGTTTAGGTCAGCTGTGTAGGTTGCAGCTTGGTTCAATATGCTTAAGGAAATGGCGACACGTTCTTTTAATTTCTGCTGCATTTACGCGTCAGTGTATTCAATATAAAATGTTATTTGAAGCATAACAGTAGTGTATGAACATTTATTTATTCAGAGAGAAAAAGGAAGATGAAGAAGAGTGGGATGAAGATGAAGAGAAAGAGGATGAAGATGCAGGGGCAAGGAACTTTGAAATCTTTTTATATATTATATTGAATGTTTATAGAAAGCGAAGTAACCGCTGATATTTTGTCTCGGGAGCAGAACGAAGATGACGACTGGCAGGAAAATGAGGAGCTGAGAGTCATCGAAGGCCTGGAGGGTGAGTTTGATCGACATTACACCCAACAGAGAGATATTAACTATCTTGACCGACAGTGATTATAAGTGTGTCCTTATTGTAGGAGTGGCTCCTCTGAAGCCCGATTTCTCCGGACCCAAAGAAAAGATTGTACCAATACCCGATGGAAGCTCCTTCTTCATTCTCGGAAAGAAAAACTGGTAATTTTAAATAATCATGAACCAGAGAAATGATTGAAGGGATACAATCTAATACCAGTGCAGTGCACGTGATTTCCTTCCCATTTTCCATTCTTCAGTTTACGAGTCGCCTGCCACAACCTCATCCATCACCCCTACTTCACCAACTTCATCCTCATCTTCATCATCCTCAGTAGTATTTCACTGGCTGCTGAGGATCCCATTAAATCCCACTCATTCAGGAACACTGTAAGGCCAAGCTTCACTCGCTTTTCCTGTCATATTCCCTACATGTTTACTGACTCATAATATTATCTTCATTAGACTGAGAACTGATTTAGCTTCTGTCTTCCTCAGGTGCTGGGATATGCTGATTATGTATTCACTTCAGTTTTCACTGTGGAGATCGTACTTAAGGTAACAGCTGCAGTGGCTGTAAAGAACCAAATCTAATAGAAAATTATGCACTAGCAAACCTCAGAAGTACATGGCAGTGCAATGAGTTTCTGACTTTGTTTCTTCACCCTCTCACTCATGTTTAGATGACTGTTTATGGAGCTTTTCTGCACACTGGCTCCTTCTGTAGAAATGCCTTCAACCTTCTTGACCTGCTGGTTGTCAGTGTGTCACTCACGTCCTTCTTTCTGCAGTGAGTAGATGCACGTGAAACGCAAGCTGTGGTTCTTCTGTCGGGTTCTGGCAGAAAGATCAGGAGCAGTTGTAGCAAAGAGAAGAGATTTGAGGATAACTTTTTTTAATTTATGAGCTCAAACTTTTCTTTTCTAATCTCTTTTCCTTGTTTCTTCCAGCTCAAGTGCCATCTCTGTGGTGAAGATTCTCCGAGTGCTTCGAGTGCTCAGGCCTCTTCGAGCCATTAACAGAGCCAAGGGATTAAAGGTAAACAGCTATATTCTATCTAGTTTCATTCCTATATTCATTTAAGCATTATTTCAGACAGCGCACCAAGTAAAGCTTGGTCTCCAAGCTGATAACAGCTGCCTACCTACATTGGCTGATGGCTCAGCTGATACCCTTCTATGTATCCAATTAGCAAATCTCATAAAGGGTGCACCGTTCAGCCTGCTGCATCTGCAAGCCGCTTGGACCTCAGCTCCTCCTTTTCATGTCATGTCACACTTAATCAGTGTCATGTAAACTCACTGATCACTTAACACAAATATCTAATCAGCCATTCACATGGCAAACACTAATTTAGGAGTGTAGACATGGTGAAGAGAAACTGCCAAAGTTCCAACTAAGCATCAGAAGAAGAAAGGAAATTGAATTTACTTTGAACATGACATGATTGTTGGTGTTAGACAGGCTGGTCTGAGTATTTCAGAAGGTGCTCATAGACTGGGATTCATCTCTGGGGTTCAGTGAGGATGGTCCAAAATACGGGGCCAGTGAGTAGCAGTTCTTTGGCTGAAAATGTCTTGTTGATGTCAGAGGTCAGAGGAGGATGGCCAGACAGCTTCCAGCTAATAGGAAGACAACAGGAAATTCAAATAGCCACTTGTTACAAACAAGGTATGCAGAAGATCATGTCAGCACATCAAGCCTTGAAGCAGATGGGCTACAGCAGCAGAGGACCATCCAAGCTACCACTCCTGCCAGCTAAGAACAGGAAACTGAGATTATAATTCACACAAACTCATCAAAAATGGATAACAGAAGATTGTAAGATTGTGACTTTTGAGTGGTGGGGTCAGAATTAGGTGTAAACAACATGAAGGCATAGATCCATTGTCTCTTGTGTCAACGGTTCAGGCTGCTGGTGGTGATGTATAGGTGTGGGGGATATTCTTTTTGGTCCCTTTGTAGCAACTGAGGATCCTTTAAACGCCACAGCCTACCAGCATTTTGTTTCTGATCATGTCCATCCCTTAATGACCACATTGTGGTCTTCTGTCTTCTAGTGGCTAATTCGAGCAGGATAACACACCATGTCACAAAGCTCGAATTGCCAAGCTGGTTTCTTGAGCGTGCCAATGAGTTCACTGAACTCAAATGGCCTCCACAGTCAACAGCTCTCAGTCTAACAGAGCACCTTTGGATGTGCAGCTGACAAATCTGCAGCAACTGTGACAATATTGTTGTTTGTACTGTACAGTTTATTCAGTGTACATACAAAAGTGTAACATGGTGCCTTTTAGTCACATCGTTTTTGCTGTTTATATGTTCACAGAATGTGGTGCAGTGCGTGTTTGTGGCGATCCGCACCATCGGTAACATCTTAATTGTCACAACCCTCCTCCAGTTCATGTTTGCGTGTATTGGAGTGCAGCTTTTCAAGGTTCATGTTCACACTTTCAGCATGATAAGATTTTAACACCCTCAGCAGATATATAGAGTGTGTCGAGTGAGTGTTTGTAACGGTGTAACTTCTCTGTGTTTGCTGTTATAGGGCAGATTCTACAGCTGCACTGACGAAGCCAGACACACTCCAGATGAGTGCAAGTCAGTGGGTTCTTTTTCACACGACATAAAGCTCTTGACAATTTCTTATCACGCTGTTTATTGAAAGATGTGCATGCATCTAATTTTAGAGGCACATTTGTGGTGTATAAGGATGGAGATATGAATCACCCCATGGTCAGGGAACGCATCTGGGAGAACAGCGATTTCAACTTTGATAATGTGCTAATGGGAATGTTGGCTTTATTCACTGTGTCAACATTTGAAGGTTGGCCGCAGTGAGTATTAATTCTACATTTTAAGTCCATTACCTCTCTAAACTATCTGTGTCATTCCTTGGGAGCTTCAGTTTATTTCTTAGAAGTTTATTGAACAACTTAGCATTTTGTTATTTTCTTTATTTTGGAAAATATTGCTAAAACAGGAAGTAACAGAGCAGTTGTAGGGACTATTTTTAGCTGAAGATGAAGTGAAAACGGCCTTCAGAGCACTACAGTCATGGCTTAAAGTTTTATCAGTGGCACAAACGTTTATGTTTCATACACTTTGCTGCTTCACTTTTTGTTTAGATTATTTTTAGAATCGGAATAAGAATATTTTATTAACCCCAGAGAGAATTATATGGTCACAGCTGCTCCAAGACATGTTTCCATGAAACAGTGAAGAAGCATCATGACATCAAGACTTTTATTGGTCAATAAATTAAAGCCATGCAAAGACTCAATATTTAGACTAATCAAAATCCAGTCCTGCCTTAAAAGTGCTCAAAATTGATCACAGTTTTTGGGGTTCTGTTTGTCTCTCTGCTTTTTAAGCACTGCCCATACTTACCATGTACTCAAAGACCAGCTTTTAATGATCCAGAAGCAGTTTGGTGGCAATCTGTTAAATTTCCAGCATGATATAGCACTTTTCACAAGGCAAAAATGAGACGTAAGAGGCTCAAAGATCATTAAATTAAAATGTCCATATCTTAATCACATCAAACATCTGTGCTCAACAATAAAAAATAATCAAAGTTAAAATAGGAAAGTATATGAAACACAAAATGTGTCGCTGCCAAAAACTTGTCATTGTGACTGTAGACCTGATTTCATTGTTCTCTAAATATATCCATCTAAATATTCACCAAGCAATTATTTGTTTCATAAATTGTTCACACATCACACAAATAATGATGAATATAGAATTTGAATTGACATTTCATGATTGGGTGGCTATGCCAAAGCTTGAACTGCCCCATTTTAAGCAGACAACAGAAATACTGTGTTTCTTGTGTGTCTGAGGGCTACGCTACAATATCACTGGGACCGTTGTTTTACAGCCTGCCTTATGAGATTATTCTTTATTACTTATGTAAAGATATTGCTACTGAAATGACATGCTCGTTTGTGACGGCACAGAGAGGAAATACATACATGAAACTATATCACATTTTCATGGCTTTTTTAATGGAATTTCCAAATAATAACATGAGTTTAGGAATCTTATATCAATGATTAAATGACTCAATGTATCAGGAATCCTGTGTGTCACTCGCTTTGTCTCTTTTGTTTTATTTTTGCCTAAAGGCTTCTGTACCGGGCCGTCGATGCCAACGCCATAAATCGAGGCCCCATTTACAACTACAGAGTAGAAATCTCCATCTTTTTCATCATCTACATCATCATCATCGCCTTCTTCATGATGAACATATTTGTGGGTTTTGTCATCATTACATTTCGAGAGCAAGGAGAGGCTGAGTTCAAAAACTGCGAACTCAATAAAAATCAGGTTAGTTATCGTTAAAAACTGTAGTTTTGACTTCAGTGTAATAGCATTCTTTCAGACGCAATCATTTCTATCCTCTCCCTCCTCACAGCGTCAGTGCGTGTATTATGCATTGAAAGCTCAACCAATTAAGATTTACATTCCCAAAAACCCATCCCAGCTCAAATTCTGGAAAATCATCAACTCCAGCCAGTTTGAGTACGTCATGTTTGTACTGATTCTGGGAAACACCCTTACTCTGGCTGTTCAGGTACAATGTCAGTCAGTTTTCACTCAGATAAAATACTAAAATATTGATTCAGGGCTGTGATGTGAATTTTTTTTGTTGTTTTTCCTCTCAGCATTATGAGCAGTCAAAACTATTCACCTCCATTATGGACATCCTCAACATGATCTTCACTGTGGTTTTCACTATAGAGATGATTATCAAGCTAATGGCTCTGCGGGCACATGTAAGGTTTCACTCTTTTTCATCAGACAATGATATCTGGCACAACTCCACTCACTGTCTGCTGTCTCGATGACTCTCACTTTGCTTGTTTAATCTCTGCAGCACTATTTCATCGATCCTTGGAATTCATTTGATGCACTTATCGTCGTGGGAAGTGTGTTGGACATTGCAGTCTCTGAATTCAGCGTAAGTTTGTTCACACAGCAACAAAATATCACCAGCTACCTTCCTTATCTACCCAAATATCTAATCAGCCAATCACACGCCAACAATTAGTCATGCAATAAATGAGTCAAATTAGGCATTTCGAGATAGTCAAGATAACCTGTTGAAATTCAGAAAGAGCATCAGATTGGGGAAGAAAGGTGATTTAAATGACTTTGAACAAGGCATGGTTGTTGGTGGAGAACTGGGATTTCCCCACACAAACATCTCTAGGTTTACAGAGAATGATCTAAAACAGAAAAAATATCCAGTGAGCAATCGCTCACCTCAATTCGGGCGAGGTGAGCAGTTAACACACTGGGTGACGCCAGTCACAGTATTTTCTGTGCAATTTTGATGAAACTTTCCTTTTAATATCCTGAAGATTTGCTGGTATTTAGCTGCAGGAGCTAAAAGGGATCTCAGCAGCTTGGTGTCGGTTATTATGGTGCTATTATGTAGGAATAAAATCAGAAGATAATTCAGATGTGAGCAGGAAAACGATTACTGCCATCAGGGCTGTCAGCTGCACTTTTGTAAACAATAAACTAAACAAATGATTAAGAACTACACGATGAAAAATAATAAAATAAACCTTTCTACAATTTTTTGAGGAAGAAATTCTACATGGCTTGAAATATGTATTACTCTGAAAATGAAATCATTTGTGCTTTAATTTCTTTTCTCCTGCATGGTATCGCCTGCCTGTTGTTCACCACATGCAAAACGATGCAGGGCGGAGGTGGTCATGGTGAGGTAAGAGCTGAATTCTGAAGTACTCCCTTTAATTCTTCTGCAATACACTTTGGGTGGACAAAAGCTAATAACCTTGAGAAAAATAAGTGCAACTTGAACAACATGTCTCAGCTTTTCTACTCATAACTTAAACACTTCTGTGCTGCTCCTTGGCTGCATTTCTCTGTGATATCTCAGGGTTTGGGTAACGCCTTTGTCAGGAAGAAAGCCTTGAAACTCTTCTGGATTGGAGGAAATCAATAGTTTGAACATTCACCTTAATAAGGATTTCCAATCCAAATGGCTTGTGAAAAGTCCAAAAACGGTGCTCTTATCTTCAGTCTTTACACTTGACAAGCGCTTCAAGCAGGCCAGAATTAACCGTTTACATAAACCGTCCTGGCCTTCAGGACACGTTTCACACTCCTGATGACATATTTGCTTTTTCAGTCTCAGATATTTAACTATTTCTGTCTGCCGTTATTCTTTCTAGGGTCCCGGGAAAGGTGAAAGTGGAAAAGTGTCCATCACATTTTTCCGTCTTTTCCGAGTCTTGAGGTTGGTCAAACTCCTCAGTAAAGGAGAAGGCATTCGGACTCTTCTCTGGACTTTTGTCAAGTCCCTCCAGGTCAGTAGCAGCACAGAAATAACAAAAGGATTAAACAATTTCTTGTGACACCTGTAGACAACTTTTATGTAACTTTGCTCTCGACTTTTATCTGCTCAGGCTTTACCTTACGTCGGCCTCCTCATTGCCATGATCTTCTTTATCTATGCTGTGATCGGCATGCAGGTGAGTCTTTGTTATGAACGTAGGTTTAAATTTTGCCTGTTCCACTCATTGCAATTAATCAAACAGGTATCCGATGATAAACAAAACATTACCATTACATCATACGGGCTGCATCCCAGTTTATAAATCTATAATAATAAAAAGTCTCTGGTTTTTTTTTTCTCTTGTAGATGTTTGGGAAGGTGGCTGTTGATGAGGACACACACATCAACAGAAACTGCAACTTCCAGACTTTCTTTATGGCTGTTCTGGTACTTTTTAGGTGAGTCTTTTTAGCCCCCAGGAAGGGGCAAAATTAAAGGGACAAAGCTGAATTGTTGAAAAATGAAGCTTTACTTCATCCAATGGCCACTGGAGGCCGGCTACCAGAGATATTAAATTAATGTTAATAGTTACAGCCTTGTAATGAAAACTGTTTTTGGCAATGAAACTAATGTCCTCCTTCATAAAGACTCTTAAGGGGGCCTCTTAAAAAGTGTTTTGTGTTAAGGCTTACCACCTTCAGTAACCACTGGATCGGTGGACTGAACCTCTCAGCACTGCTTGTTGTATAGGTGCCTTCTGGAGCACTTTAAATAAAAAATAAAAATGTGACACAATGTGTCTTACTTTATCTTTCTTTTTGACTTTAATGAGGATCATAATTTACATGATGAACATCCTGTTTTCTAACTAATACGGGGCAGTTTCTTTGTGCAAACAGAGGTATCGCCCCCTGCTGCTCATTAGCAAGAATGCACATTTAACGCACTTCAAAGACAGCTTTACTTTTCAGACCTGAAAGCTGAGTCATCCGTATTTTATATCTTTGTTTTTGCAGACAAAACATAAATGCCGAAGCTTCAAAATGCACAGTCTAAGAAACAACTGGTGATGGCATGGAAGCTATGTCCATCGTTTATCTACAGTCCATGGCTTTCTTCTCTCTTCTGATAATACATTTCTTTATTATAGTCGTACTCAGAATCAGAAGTTACTGTGCTGCATTAACACGACTTTTTCCTCAAACAAAAAGTGCTTCTAGTGTGAAACTTTCGTGCATCTTTTCTAACATCTAGAAGGTCTAAAACAGTGTAAAGGAACAGTGATAATGCTGCTGTTTTTCCTTGTAGGTGTGCCACTGGAGAGCAGTGGCAAGAGATCATGTTGGCAGCTTTGCCTGGCAGACGCTGTGACCCAGAAGCTGACGTTGAACCTGGTGAAGAGTTCACCTGCGGTAGCAACTTGGCCTACCTTTACTTCATCAGCTTCTTCATGCTATGTGCTTACCTGGTAAGCAAAGCCACCGAAAATTAGGGATCATTTTTTTAAAATCCCTTCGTTCATCTTGTTTGTGGTGAAACATGTCCTTTCTTTTGATATAACTAAACACTCTACCTCCTGTCTCTAAAAGAAATGTAGGTATAATTAATTCTAACTCGTGTTTTATAGAATATCAGGTCAGAAGGAATCAAAGTTAGATGAAAGCAGACAGCATAGTATTACAGCTGCAGCGTACTAGCAGGTTTAAAAGCTTACCCTGTCTTCTCCAATTCCCAGCTCATCAGACAACTCCCATCCACGGATTTTATTAATCCAGGCAGCACACTCAAACCACAAAATCCCGATTTAAAAGGGCACAAATATTTTGGTAACAGTACTTTGACCATAGTGCTATTTTTAAACATTAAATGTGTCGAAAGAAGGTGGCGTTTGCCCTAGAGAGCAGGCAGAGGAGGGTCCACGTAGGATCTCGTACTCTATCAAGTTGCTGCGTTCCTGCAGTGGAAATGGTAAAAACCGCAGAAAATACAGCAGAGTATAATCTGTTCCAGATTACCTGCTTAGAATTATCAGCAGTATCATATGTGATTCAGACAGGGGCAGGGAACTCCAGGCCTCGAGAGCCAGTGTCCTGAAGGTTTTAGATGTGTCCTTGATCCAACACAGTTGATTTAAAATGGCTAAATTACCTCCTCCACATGCCTTGACATTTTCCAGAGGTCTGGTAATGAACTAATCATTTGATTCAGGTGTGTTGACCCAGGATGATATCTAAAACCTGCAGGACACCGGCTCTTGAGGCCTGGAGTTTCCTACCCCTGACCTAAAATATAACCCTAGTCCACCAGGAACTTTCACTGAAATGTTACAATATCAAAAGTAATCATCCAATACATAGACAATTTCAATCTTGCTATGGAACCCAATGTAATCCATGTGATTTATAATATTTACATATGACAGACGTTGGCCTTTAATCTCTTCCACTGTTCCATGGACAGTTTTCTCAGCTTAGGCCATGGGTGTCCAACTCCAGGCCTCGAAGGCCGGTGTCCTGCAGGTTTTAGATCTCACCCTGGGTCAACACACCTGAATCAAATGATTATTTCATTACCAGGCCTCTGGAAAATGTCAAGGCATGTGGAGGAGGTAATTTAGCCATATTAATCAGCTGTGTTGGATCAAGGAAACATCTAAAACCTGCAGGACACTGGCCCTTGTGGCCTGGAGTTCCCCTGCCCCTGGTTTAGGCGGTTTGATTTATAGCAGGGTTACAGTTTTTCCTGTTCATTTGTCCTTCTTTATGTTTTCTTCCTTTGTGGACAGCTGACAAAAATCAATCCGTATGTGGTTTTCGGCCTCTAGCAGAAACCCACAAAGACCCTCCTGGCAGCTAATGTAGATCAGGACCTCTGTGTGCTGTTGGGTTTTTTAATATGTTCACAGAACTGTAGTGGCCTGACTTGCCTGTTGTGACTTTATACAAAATTTAGAAGCAACAATAATTCAAAATGTAATCTCACTACTTTTATTTGCTAAATTTACTTAAAATGTTTCAATAATAGATTTATTTATGTAAAACACATGCTGTTATCTTTCTCTCTCAGATTATCAACTTGTTCATTGCTGTCATCATGGACAACTTTGAATATCTGACAAGAGACTGGACCGTACTCGGCACTCACCATCTGGATGAGTTTAAGAGAGTTTGGTCTGACTATGATCCAGAGGCCACGTGAGAATCATTTTAGTATCATTCTCCACAACTTGTGCATTTTTTCTGTCCTTGCATACTTTATCTTACATCTGTCTCACCAGCTCTGCGTCCATCTCTTTCCTACAGCGGTCGTATAAAGCACATCGATGTCGTCACTATGCTGCGCAGGATTCAGCCGCCTCTTGGTTTCGGAAAATTATGTCCTCATCGTGTTGCTTGCAAAGTGAGCAAAAACACATTTGCTCCTGCGGATTTCATGAACAAACTAAAGACACGCATCTGACTCCTTCTGCCTCAACTTGTCTTTGCAGAGACTGGTTGCCATGAATGTTCCCCTGCATCCTGATGGCACAGTCACCTTCAACGCTACTCTGTTTGCTCTCGTGCGAACCTCACTGAAGATCAAGACTGAAGGTTTGACCTGCTGCATATAAACAAAAACACAGAAGCTCATTATTTGTGTATGAGATTACCTCACTCTTTTAATGATAGTGCTGTTTATATTAAAGGGTCTGTTGTTTGTGTCCCACTCAGGTCCCATCGACCAGCAGAATGAAGAGCTGAAGGTGATTATCAAGAAGCTCTGGAAGCGCACTAAACCCAAACTCATTGATGAAGTCATTCCTCCCCCTAGAGGTATACCAAAAAATTGCACTGCTTTCCAACATAATGAAAAGCAAAGAAAACCTAAAACACACTGAATATTAAATCAAGCCTCTTTTCTTTCATATTGTGTACCTGATGATGCCAAATATGTACATTTATTCATATAAGTCTTATAATCCAAAGTAATGTTTGTGTAACATTACCTTCTCTCAGGAGATGAGGTGACTTGTGGAAAGGTTTATGCCAGCTTCTTGATTCAAGACTACTTTAAAAAATTCCGGAAAAGAAAAGAAAGGGAGAGGAAATCCAAAAGGAAGGACAAAGCAGCTTCTCTACAGGTAACATAAACTATCCAACTCAAAGATCCCATGTTTGACACAACTTTGTCATTGACTCGATGCAAAATAAAATCATACGGTCATGTCTGTGTGTGAATGTGGACCCAAATGCTGACCTAAAAGAGGAGTAATAAACAAAACAAATCTTTATTTCAGAGAGGCAGAAGTCCAACAGGCAACTGACAGAAAATAAAAGGAAATAACCTAAATGCTCAAAGTAAAAGAATAAAAAATGTAAAATACAAAAACTCATGCACATACATTTTAATTGCATCTTGAACCATGTTTGCTTTCCGAGTTAAAATCATCTTTTTCATGCGAGTCTTAAACTGAGATTTGAAAGGTTAAGTTCAACTTACGATCAAATATACCTTTTTATAATAAAAAATTAATAATTATAAAAATAAAAAATCTTTTCATCCATCTTCAGGTGCTTAACTTTGCATTAAACTCATTTTTGAATGTAGGCTGACTTCAGTTTATGGATATGTTTGTAGCAAGGGCTGCGGACACTGCAGGATCTGGCTCCAGAGATGCGTCTGGCAATGGCTTCTGATCTGGAGGACGAGGAAGGTGGAGGCGATGACATATTCGAGAGTGGGCATGAAACGTCAGCAACCCCCACTCCCTCCAGCACACCGATGCCGCCTCTGGACACGCTGGTAGAGCAGACGACTTTGATCATGGAACCAGAGCCCAAGATCTCCAACGGAGGTGTGATCACGGAGCAGGTGACGGGCTTGAAGGAACACCAGAGGCCGGGATCAGAGCTGGCAGGTGTCAGCGTGGTAACAGAGCAGCCTGTGAGGTCAGAACACCTCCCAGTGAGGTACGTTACTGCGTCATACGTGAATTCTCACATTGGTACTCACACGTATTCCTTCTATTTTATACCAAGGAGTTTTCTAACTTACTTGTACTCTTAACAAACAGGGCGGACTCCATCAGTGAATCGCCTCTTCCTCCTCCACCTCCACCTGAGATTTTAGTTGAAGAAGTCAAAGCTACAGAGGAAGTATCCGAGCAGGTGTACTTGAGTGAAGGAGATGCTGCAAGTCTGGCATCAGTAGACCGGTAAGGAATAATCAAGAAGGTCAAGCGATAGATGTAGGTTTATTAGGTTATTCATTAAAATAAAACAATTTGGGAAATAGATGGATTAAAAAAACCAAACAACTGAAGACAAGATTGAACAGCCTAGCATTAAGACTGGAAACAAGACTGGGGTAGAGGATTCAACCCACCAGCACCTCTAGAGCTCACTAATTAGCACTTTTACTCTTTGGTCGTGCAGGTATATGTATCCAGAGGCTGTTTCCCCAGTACCAACTGATGCAGGCTACAATGGCCAGAGTCTGGAAAGAGGCAGCAGCCTTGGCGAAATACCGTATGACTCTAATGGTACCAGTGGCTTCGTCAGCAATGATTACACTGACATCAACATGAATGGAGGGAGTGCTGCCACGAGTCCCACTCCCTACACCACAAATGAATATAATGAGAATGGATATCCAAGATACAGTGAGAATGGAAACGGCGTCATGACCGCCAACGGGAACGGAAGCACAATGAGTGGCGGCCATGAAAACGGCAGCAGCATCGATTACACTGGAAACGGCTACACTACCAATGAGAACAGCGGTGCCCAGTTTGTTAGGAGAAGGTTACTTCCTGCTATTCCAAAAGGTTTTCCTTCTTCTCTTCCATTCTTCAAGAGTACTGATAGACAGAGGTGGTTGTATATTTTTGGACGTTGCCAATCAGAAGAAATTTAAAATTCAAATATAATGATAATGTTTTTGGTGTTTAAATAATCTGTCAAGTGAATTTATCAAATATTACTCTTATTTTACTTTATAAACGGAACTTTTCTGAGGGGTTTTATTGGGCATGTGAACTATAACTGATGCCTGCTAATACAAACTCTCTCCACACACGGTGCTAGTCTTGCACTCAGGTCATTTTTCTAATATCTTCCTGCTTTCTGTTTCAGGTCATAAACCCGCCTTTAATTTCCAGTGTCTGAGACCACAGAGCAGCGTAGATAACCTCCCCATCCCAGGAATCTATCAAGGCCACACATCTCCAACTAGATCACGTTTGCAGGTAAAACAGTGACACGCATACACACTCAGCCTGCTAGTTTTCCTACTCATTTCTAGCTTAAACTCATAAAGATATGAATAAATGACAAGAGAGCAGCCTCTCTGATCTGGATTTACTGGCTCTACTTTTGCTCTCCTCTGTCAGAACCAGCACAGCCTGGAGTCCCGGCCCAGCAGTGTGTCCTCCATGTCGTCCACCTCCTGGGCGAACACGGCAGCAGCTGGTGCCACTCCTGTTCCAGGAATAATTGCCCCATCGGCACGCAAGGGCAAGCTCATCTACACTCCTATGATCTTGATGGATGAAGCCACAGGTGGCAGTCAACCGCTGTGGAATGACGGTTCTGCCAGCCTTCCTGCAGGAAGGCGCCCCGGCTGGTACCCCGGTCAAACCAGGACGTTCACCAGTGTAAGAATGCCACCCCCTGTGAACCAGGGCTTCATAAGCAAAGGCAGCGCGGACAGTCTGGTGGAGTCGGTAAGTAGTTTTTGAGATTTTCGTAAAGGTGAAACCTCCTACACCCACTATTATGTAGAACTTGGTGTATTTTAAATTCCCGTGACCCTTTGTAACTTGATTTAGTGAGACTTTAAGGCTGATATTCACCTGTTTTGACTGATTGGAACTTTTGAAACCTCATGGGGATATTCTTGCCCAGTAAAAAGGATGGCAAAACTGTTATCCATCATATTAAAAATCCTTTTAGGAACAGATCTAACCATGAACAGGATGAATGACTAAAGCAACTCTTTGCACTATCGCCTCCCTGAAATGTAATCCTGCTCATTTATTTGAATATTTGCTCAACTTTAGATTGGACATGAGCAGCTGACAGCACGAACCTGTCTTAAATGATTGCTTCTTTACTCTTTCTGTCACCAACCACAGATCTTGATCTCTGAGGGTCTCGGTGTCTATGCAAGGGACCCGAAGTTTGTGAACTTTGCTAAGCGGGAGATTGCTGAAGCTTGCCGCATGAGCCTGGATGAAATGGAGAGCGCAGCTGCTGACTTGATAGCGCGTGGAGCCACTCAGTCGATTTCTCGATTTGAGGAAGAGCTGGCTGATGAAATGAACTGTGTGATTTCTTACTGAGATCAGCTGAACTGTAAGAGAAATGTGTGAGAAACTGAGATGTGAAGTTTGTTTTTTCTTAAAAAAAAAAGGGGAGAAGAAAATCTTGTGTGTGTGTGTGTGTTTGAATCTCTTTTGAAAACAAAAAGAAACATCCCACATATGAGATTTCTATCATGTTGGGTATGATGTGCTTTTGTTTGTGAATGCCAAAAACACACTTTGATTTTAAGTGTACGTGTCAATTTGTGACAAAAATTTTGATTGCAGCAGAAGAGTCAGCAGGACGCAAGTTCATTTTCTGCATTGTGCTCTCGTTTTGTACCCTACTTGAACTGTGGTCACCTTATACACGTGTGTTCAGCTACAATCAGGGAAACTAGACTCTGAAATAAGAATGTTTTAAATCTACACATGTAGATCAAATACTTTTCTTTACTCTTGATACAACTGAGTAAGACTGTGAGTTTCCAACAGCATTAGCTTCTTTAGAGAAATATTTAAATATAATGAATATCCTCTAAGATGCACGATGCAAACTTGTGGCGGAAATGTCCAAATTATGTTTTGGATTCATTGTGACTGAACGTTTGGGTGGCTATCCACTGTGCACAAATAAAATAAAATGTTTTCTCAAACATTCGTTAATTTTTGTTTTGCAGATGGGATATCGTTCCAAACGTTGCACACGGTCTCAAAGGCTCTTTGTATTTGTTTAAAAGCACATACTGAAAACCCACAACAAAATTAAAGCAGCGAATTATATAATCAGACATTAATGGACCGGCAGATGGGTAACATCTGGGTTTCACTTCCCCTTTTAAAGAAAAGAAACATGCAAAGCTATGAGCCATGGATGCTTGTTATTCGGTGCTATTGTAGTAGCACATCAAGTATCTGTGTAAAATCCATTTTGTGTCAAGTAGAAAGCTTTTACTTTGGTTTGTTTAGGTACAGCTTTACCGTTTTACATTTCCTTTTTCTGTCTGTGCTCTTGATCAGAGCCTGCGTTACTGTTTTATTCAGGTTAGCTGCTAGTATTTGGAAAGGGACGGGAAATAAAAATATATAGATTGGATTACGAAAAAAGCAAAACCCTGAGAGAGTCTATGTCACAGAGAGTCACAGTGTCTATGAAATACACAGAGAGTGAAAGCAAGGAGAAGACAGGAGCTTATCATGGGAGGGTTTTTTTTGTATCCAAGGCTTATAGCAATGTAACTACAGGATGTGTTAAGGTTGGTTAAGTATTCCTTATTAAAGGCTTTGAATCACAGCGGGAATGATACCTTCATCGTGACGAATTCTCACGGTAAATTTTCCGTTTCAGTTTTAAGGTTTCTGCAATAGGACAATACTTTAAAAGGTTTTACTTGATCCAGCGCCCTTTCCAATCTTGCTTTTATTTCCAAAATTTCCAGAAGAGTTGTTAAACAGCACTAACACTGACCATAATTCTCCCATATGACATTCTTTTCACTGGCTCTGTTAAATCCAGAATTGAATTTAAAAATTTTCTCCTCCTACATAAGATCTTGAATCATCAGGATCCATCACATCTTGAAGACCTCGTATTATCTCAATAGAGCTCTTTGATCTCAGTCTACATGTGTCATGAAACGGCTGTGTGCAGGCAGGAGAAGGACCCAAATGCAAAATCTCGGAAACAGGACTCAAAAACCAGCTTTATTTGCTGAATGCAAAAACAAGGCAAGGCAAGTTTATTTATATAGCACAATTCAACAGCAAGGTGATTCAAAGTGCTTTACAGAGACATTAAAAAACAGAAACAATTAAAAAGCATGATTTAAAAAGAAAAAGAAAAAAAGGGAACAGTAGATAAAACCAGTAGTTAAAATTTTAAGTTTTGAAATGTAAGCTTAAAAGTAAAACAGTGCGGATTTGGTGCTTTATTCAAATGCAGCTGAGAATAGGTGAGTCTTCAACCTGGATTTAAATAAACTGAGCCTTTCAGCTGATCTGAGGCTTTCTGGGAGTTTGTTCCAGATATATGGAGCATAAAAGCTGAATGCAGCTTCTCCGTGTCTGGTTCTGACTCTGGGAACTGATAATAAAAACGGATCCAGATGACCTGAGGGATCTGGAAGGTTCATACTGGGTCAGGAGGTCACTGATGTATTTTGGTCCTAAACCATTCAGAGCTTTATAGACCAGCATCAGAACTTTAAAGTGTAAACAAGACAAAACTATACTGGGAAAATACTAATGATAACATGAAACACAGGGAGAGGAACACAGCCATGGAACTGAGGGAGATGCATAAATACACAGAAAGATAACGAGGGACGTGGGAACACACGGGGACACAAGAACTCACAATTAAATAAACAGATACACTGAGGGAGACAGAGGGAAAAGAAACAAGGGGGGGATCTAATAAACAAAACTTAACAGAACACCCTATGCAACATAGAATTAACCTTTAAAACAAGAAGTGAGCTTAAACAAAAATGGCAAAAAAAACACAGGAAAACTCAAAACACTGGGTCAAAGTACCCAGGACCATGACATACAGTAGTACTGGCCCACATACAAAAACTTAAGCTGTCTTTGAATTGAAAAAATATGCTCAGAATGTGTTTCAAGACATGCCTTAACTGTTGTCAGTGTCATCCAATAGATTGTATTGTACATTAAAGATGGATGCAGCCACCATCATATTCACCCCTGGTTTTGGCAGCCTAAATGTTAGCCTTTTGGTAAATGCTATGTTCTGTTTTTGGAGTAAGCAGTCACCATATTCGGATGAGAGTTATGCAAGCTTCATTAGAAAGCTGCATCCATAAATTATATAAGTGCAAAGCACAGACACAGATATCTGCAAGTCAGTGCACATTAAGAGGAGAATAAAATACAAAAATTCACTGACCAGAATTACAAAGAACGCCTGGTACAACGGGCCATGTTATTTTGGTGGCCTTTTAAAATGGTACTAACATAAGCCAAGTTTTATCTCTACAGCATTGAGAAGGTGAACTCCATGATCGTGTGTGTTACTGATATAAACAAGAGTGTGGTGCCTTTAATCCAAATAATATGCTCCAGCTTTTGCAATCAGTCGTGTCAAACCCACCTCTAAGATCTAACAATACGAGCAAAAAGAGGACGAGTCGACCATCTAACACTATGAGAAGGTTGTCTGACCAGAGCTTTAGGGCTGGCTTAAAATCTTTAAACATGCCATTCTGATGCAAACAATTGGAGAAGTGGTTTCTTGTCACATAACAGCTTTCTTAAAGACTTTCAAGACAAAGAGGTTGGATTATCTCTGCACAGCAACATTAAAACCCTGTATGATGTACCCTTTAAGGAAAGCTACCTTCTGCATTTCCAAATTTCAGTTTTTATTTCTGGACTGTGCCGAAGTAGCTTTGCATAACTCGTCGTTCAAACTATTCTACATATATCTTATACTTCATGCATCCCCTTCAGTTAATTTACTGACTAAAACAAGGAATTTAGCTCCACTCCTCCCTTGAAACATTTCTTCTGATTGGACGCCCCTTCCTATTAGTAGATTTTAATAGCAGGTGGCCAGATGACTGGATTAATGACATCTCCTCTCATTAACACCATACAAAGAAGAAAGCTGTCTAAGGAGGATATGTAGCAGGGATTACTCGTTTCTATGCTTAACATTTTTAATATGAGCATCCACAGTTATAGCATCCACAGTTATAGTATTATACTATATATGTCAGAGAATAAGGCCCTCTTTGATCTACCCCAGGTGTCACATGGTGGGAAGTAAGTACAACTTTGACATGCCAGCAATACATCACATTTTTTTAAATAAAAAGAAGGGGTTTGAATTGGCATTTGCAGCACTTTCATACACTTCCTCTTCCCATCTAGTCATTCAAACATAAAGATGTGAAAATGGATTTTCCGTGTGCTGTTTACTTCACCGTTTGATGTGAATGTGACCAAAAATATTTTTAAACAAGTGTGAATTATAAGCACCTACAGACTTTTGCTTTTGAGCTTTCTCTTTCTCTATCTGTTCCCTTTAGGGGTCGCAAATCGGATCATTTATCTCCATCTCATCCTGTCTCGAGCCTCTTCTTCTGTCACGCCAACCCTCTACATGTCGTAAAGTTTACTTTTTCAGTGTGCATTTTAATGCATAGTTTTAGACAACAGGGAAACGTTTGCTTTTTTTCACAAAAATTGCAGTGACTTTGTGAAGGCACTGTTTGTCTGCTTTTGTGATTAAAGGCTTTTTTGGATGTCATATTCATCTTAATATTTTGCATCTCATTTCGGTTATTTCACAGTTACTTTGCATAACGACGATAGGTCATTATCATTATACAGGAGCAGCAACTACAGTTGCAGCTCCCGATGTTTGGCAATAAAATGCTCAGAGACATTTCTGGTGAAAACAAGGAGCCAAACCCACCTGGCCTCACTAGCACTCTATTTATGATTCCATCCTCATCTTCCAGAACTCTCGGTGAACTTTCCCCAACTTCCTTCGCAGGTTTTGGCTTTTAAAGGGAAAATATACATTAAAAAACAAACAAACAGCTGTTTTGATAATGTCAGGTGATCGTGCTGACTGTTAATGACTAGCATCTGTTCACAAACCTTCATTGACCTTTTGATGTTCTCCTCTAAACCACTCCTTCCACTAAAGCGTGAACAGTCTCCATGCGCTCCTCTCTCCATCATCACCCCCGGGGTAGTTTCTGCTCCCTCGGAATAAAAGCAACGACGCGATTGGATAGAGTGCCCGGCTCGTCTCTACTCCACATCCTCGTAATTATTTTGACGTCACGACGCTCGTCCAGCTCGTGACGCATTCCAGCTCTTCCTTCTGGGTGTCTTCCTCCCCTGGGCTGTTCCGGATGAGACGCCTCCCTCCCCCCGCCCCTCTGATCCTCTTATCAGCGAGTAAGCGGCCAAGATGGATGTTGTAAACCAGGTAAGGCTTTGATGGGGAAATCATCTATTTCATTATTGTTTCGTGTGCTAACGATTGTTTCATTTATTAATACTCGTTTCATTTTGTCGCCCGTTTTAATGGCGATATTTTATTCTAAATGTAGACATCGAATGCGTTTTGGAGTCCTTGGACTCGAAATGTGAATTTGGGAATTAATCTTTAAAATGCAGTTTTATAGGGACACGAAATGGTCCAATCCAATGAGAGATTTCTCCACAGCTGATGCTGCAGTGTGTGTTTTAAAGTGGCCCGCTGAGTGTCCAAAAATGAGTAGGATGTCCAGAGATTTCTGCAGGAATGACATTTAGCTACGGAAGGAGACGATGATACCTATTATCTCAGGGGATTCACCTAATTGATTTAGTTTGCCCACGTCTCAATTAGCCCGCTGTTGCCACGATAACAAACGACAACCTGATTAATTTCCAAGGCCCTCGCTGTATTCGTATAACCGCAGTAGGCCAAAGAGGAGCACAGGCTCCTGCATCTCTCTTTCGCTGGTCCCGAACAGCTCATCTCTCAGACTGCTGAATGGTTTGTGTCAAAGCCATCAAGTCTTCCCGGGGAGACGAGCGGATATCAGGCTGTCAGGCTCCTCTGAGCAGGAATTTTGTCAGTACCTGCGTCATCTGCTTAATATGGATGTTTGGCTTTGTGCAGAAACAATGAGGATAAAAGTGGCCCCGCAGCCTGTGAGAAAATCATCACTGCTGCTTATTCCGGTGCGGCCATTTATTGATGCACACGGGGACACACCGCCTTCTTTGCTTTGTCGCATTCACCTGCACGCCAGCCCCTCTTTTGCCTCGATCGTCAATTAAAAAACGGGATTTCCTCATAAATAAGTCAAAGAATTGCTGAGGAGTGTGCAGCAGAGCGGCAGA